ATGAAGAGGCTTTGGCCAAGGAAAAAGCTGAAAAAGAACGAATCGCTCGTGAAGAAGTATTGGCTGAAGAAGAGAGAATAGCCGGGGAGGAACGCGAAAGAGTCGCTCGTGAAACTATTTTGGCAAAGGAAAAAGCTGAAAAGGAAAGGCTGGCCAAAGAAGAAAAGGCAAAACAAGAAAGACTTGATAAAGAAGAACAAGAAAGAAAAAAACATGAACAGTTTATTGCTAAAGAGGTAGAAGAAAAGGAAAGGCTCGCTAAAGAGGAACAAGATAGAATTGATTGTGTTCAGACTCTGGCTAAAGAGAAAGAAGAACAACAGAGACTTGAAATGGAGAAGCAAGAAGAGATAGTTCGCGAAAGGGTTCTCGCTAAAGAAAAAGAAGAACAAAAAATTGCCCATGATCAAGTCATTGAAAAACAAAAAGATGAAGGTCTTCATAAAATAGATCAAGATCAAGCTACAAACGAACTTCCTCCAAATATCCATGGAGAAGTCGAACCTGGTAAATCGCTACCATTAGAAGACATTTTCAAAGAAACAAATAGAGATTCAGCCGACTCAGATAAGCACAATACTAAAATTGGTGATTTAAAGAATGAGAATACTCCAGTAGTATCGAACACTGGTGACAATAACGGCATAAGGCAGAGAGTTGTTAAAGGTAAAACAAATTCAAAATATTGGCTATTGTGGTTTGAATTGACCTTTTCATTTAGAGCAATTAAATACAAAGAAGACCTCAGACCATGATACAAAAGATAGAAATATAGGAAAAAATGCCACGTAGGTGTTAAATTAGAAGTATCATATTAAATATAGCTCAATATGATTTTTTTTAGGAAACCTCATAAAAAAATCCAGAAGGGTAACCTTCCAATTTATTCTGGAATAATTATTTTAGGATTGTTTATCGCATTTGGAATTGGAATGACAGTCATGAAAGCAATTCCTTATTTCAATTCAAATACTTAAATCTTTATTAATCTTAAATATTTTCCAATGCGCTTCTTTTTTTGGCACGTTCCTCTTCATTAATAATAAAAGATGATCTTTGCCACTCCTATAATAATAGTAATAATAAAACACGAGACTTATAGTTTACAAGGGAGCGAAAAAATATAGGGTCTGCATTTGTTTTAATTTATGATTATCGTTTATATTTTTAATTATAGTTAAAAAGATAGTTTTTGAGTTGTTATATATATTCTATGATTTTTTGTAATTTTTTGTAGTATTATTTTATCTTTTTTTTTTTAAAAAAAAAAACAAATTAAATAAAAATAGGAGGTATGGAGTTCATTGCATCTTTTCCGCGATCGATTAGAAAATATTTTCTACAAACAGATCATGAGAATTTCCAGTTTGATGGCTCTAAGACGGAAGTGCAGATAACAGTTTTGAATTTAATTTTGACTTATTTTAAGCGCTATTCATTTACACATTATATCACTACTTTGAGATTACTAGACTTTATTTTGAGTGTTAAAAAAAAACAGCATAAAAGCATCTCAGAGTTAATTATTATTTTAATTAACAGTTGTATAATGTAAAGGCTTAAATGAAATAGTGGAACTGATCAAAAACGATCATCAACCTTCAGGCCGATTCTGATTTTGTCAAATTACGAAATGCCTACCATAGCTTGTATTTAAAAGAATAATAGTACCTGATATATTATCATTAAAAGCAATGTTGATACAAAAAGCACATACTATACGACCAGCTAAGATATTCAATTATAATCTACACAAGATCTGTATGTAGAACGCAAAAAAGAGACGAGAAATTTTCCCACCCATTAACTAGTATATTTTAAAATTCATTGGACTTAAATTAAAGAATGTATCTTCAGGTAATACTAATATTTGAATATTCCATATTATCTTCATTTCTATGGCACTCAGTTGCATTAAAGTCAAAAGACCAAAATTAAGATAATAAAAGGTAAAGACATTTGTCTAAGTAAATATTTTTTACATTTTTAATTATGTACTGGCGGTAAAGTAAATAAATAAGATTCATTTTCTTGCTGAAACGTATAGTTGTAATCATTTGAATCGATACAGATATTTTCTTTTTTAGGATTGGGTTTATAGTGAACTTGTGGAAAATTTGAAATTGAAGGGTTTTCTTGTTGATAATATTCTTGAGTAGTCATCGAATCATCTAGTGTTGATACCGAAGAATCTGTTGAGGTATTAGAGGACAATGAAAGATTCGAATCT